CATTAATTTGGCGATGTTTGCTTTCAGATTGAAGACCAGATGCGTATTCATGTCAATAGGGACACCGGGCAGGGCAGACTCACGCTCGACCGCCATCATCAGAGGCAGTACTAGCCGTGTGAGGGTGGATGGAGGAAGGATCTGGCACCCGATGGCAGCGTCGTGCTGCACCTCCTCGCATTGCCTCCGCTCCCCTTTGTGCATATGACAGCCGCCTGCTCCACAGGACTACTTCTGCCAGGACTGCTTCAACAGCACGCACGCCACTGGCAAGCGGCGGGCGCACATCACGTCCGACGTGGAGCAGCTGGTTTGTGCTGCCTACGAGGACTCCTGGGCGGAGAGGGGCAGGGGCCTGTAAGTCCTGCGGTTTTCGGGCCGTTCTCAGTTGACTTCAGTCAACCGAGAGCCGTTTTCTTACCGGTTCCGTTTTGCCGTTTTTGTTGCCGGTTCCGACGCCGTTTTCTTACCGGTTCCGTCGCCGTTTTTTGACCGGTTCCGGCTCCCGTTCCGATCCTGGAGCCGTTTTTGTTGCCGTTTCCGGTCGCCGTTTTTTTACCGTTTCCATTTTGAAGGGGCATTTCTTTGGAAACGGTGAAAAAACGGCCCTGCCGTTTCTGGGGCCCACAAAGGTTGACTGTCGGGTTGGCCCCAAGTCTCAGGGCTGTGTTCGGCTTGAGACGCTAACAGGGTGGCGCCCAGGGAGGGGAGTGATGCCATTGCGAGATTCCCGATCTTTGTGTGTGTGTGTATGTGTGGAAGGCGCGGGCTCGGCCGATTTGAAATTTGGGGATTGGGGGTTGAGGGTCGCTTCTCATTGTCGGACAGCGTGGCAACTTGGCGATTGCCGCTCGCAGAATGCAGGTTGTGGGCCGGAAAGGTGGGCTTCGCGAGGATTCGGGGCAGTCCATGCTCGGGCAGCGCCCGCATTTGGACTGGCTGCCGGGAGGGGTTCGCCGGCGGGGTGCAAGACCCCTGAAGGCAGGGGTCCGGGGTCGTGTTCACGCAGTGGCGCCCGGGATGACGATTAGAAAAAACCGGCCGCGGGCTGGAAAACTATTGTTTTATCGTTCTCCTCCAGTCAGAAAGTTGTGCAGAAATAGCAGACAGCTATGTTTTTTAATCGTTCTCTCTCATGTTTTATTAATCGTCATCCCGCATTGTTCTTGGCTGCGAAAGACGTTGGCCCTGTTTGGTGTCTGATCCGATCTGATCTGATCCGCCTCCTCCTCCTCCTCCTCCACCTCCTCATCCTCCTCTGGGGAGCCGCCCCTGGCCGTTGACATCCCTTCGGGGGGGGGAGCTGGAGTTGGGCGAGGTGGGGCTACTCACCGAGGGCCGGCACTGCACTGTTTTGACACATCGGGTGAAGGTTCTGAGAGCCTTGTTTTGTGCTCAGAACATCTTTGGGGTTCTAGGAACATGTCGTGGTAAGCCTCTAGGAATGCCAGGACGGTCGGTCCCTGCTCAAGTAGCCAGCGCCAGGAGCAAAACACGCGCTCCTAGCAGGTGCCCCCAGAAACCTACTTGGATTTGCCGATCGCATATCACATCAAAAGATTGGTGGCTCGACGATGTGCCATCACGCGGTCTGATGGCATGGCCTCTTATTCCCAGTATGTGGCACAAGAGGCTACCTGTAATTGGGCCACTGGGCGTGCAGATTTCTCAGCTCCCTTGGGGCCGAAACATGGTAAGAGGCCACACGTTCTGCTGAACGCTACAGTGGATAGCGCGACGTTCCCACCGAACATCAATGGACGTCCTGGGGTATCAGGGTTGGGTTTCTTGTGGAAGGTTTCCTGTGGTCGAGCTCCTGCTGTATGCCTGTCAAAGACCACCGGGCACCGATTGTGGGGGCAGGAGGGGGAGTGCCCTCGCCCCTCCCTCACATCCTTTCCCCTCCGCGAGGGGGGGAGAAGTGACAGAGGAGGGAGGGGTGTGACACGGTGGCGTGAGACGAATGTATGTGCTCTGGCTGCTACATGTTGCCGGGTAGTCGAGACAAAAGGCAGGGGAGGGAAGAGGGACAAGCTCGGCGCACTCGCATTACGTCTGGCATCCGAAAGAGCGCTTCCTGCCGCTGCTGGCAGAGGACGTGGGTTCCCACACACACACCCCACCCCAGGGAAACGAGTAGGGAGGGGGTCCAGACCCCCCCCCGGGAAAAACAGTCGCGGGGGGTCCAGAATCCCCCCCCCCCCAAGGAATATGATTGGGGGGTGCCACGATGCCCCCCCCCCCCCGCCCGGCGATGATCACGACGACGCCGACAACCACGACGACGACGACGCCAACGACGACGACGGCGACGACGACGACGCTGACGACAGCGACGACGAAGACGATGACCAGGACGACGACGACGACGACAACGACGACGACGACAATGACGACGACGAGGACGCCAACGACGCTGACGACGACGACGACGCTGACGACAGCGACGACGACGACGACGACAACCAGGAAGACGACAACGACGACGACGACGCCGATGCACAACGCATAACGCACGACGCACGACGCACGGCGCACGGCGACGACGACGACGACGCCAGTGCCGACGCCGACGACGACGACGCCTGTGCGACGGCGACGGCGACGACGACAACGACAACGACAACGACGCCGCCGACGACGACGACGACGATGCCGACAACGACAACAACGACTGTGACAAAGACGAAGACGCTGACGACGACGACGACGTCGTTCCCGACGACGACGCCGCCGACGTCGACGCAGAAGACGCCGACGCCGAGGACGCCGACGACGCCGACGTCGACGACGAGGACGATGACGACGACGACGCCGACGTCGACGACAAAGACGACGGCGAGCAGAGTCCAGGAGACGTAGAGTACAGTGTATGATGTGTAGAGAACTGGGTAGATGAGAGTCGAGTAGAGTAAGATGGCCTTCCGTAGGGTAAAGTAGAGTAGGATAGAGTAGAGTAGAGTAGAGTGGAGTGGGTTCGTGCGGGGCATGTTTGAGTAGTAGTGGTAGGAGTCGAATGGAGAAGAGGAGATGGATAGAGTAAAACAAAACTATAGCGGAGCAAACTAGAGCTGAATAGAGTAGAGGAGTAGGAGCAGAGTAGGAATTGAGCAGCGTAGGAGCAAAGTAGAGTAGAGTATGTTGGGGCACGGCATTGTCGAGCAAGGTAGAGTATGTATGGCAGTGTGGGGTAGACTTGGGTTCGGTTGAATTGAGTCGAGTAGAGAAGGAGTACCATACAGTAGAACAAGGACAAGGTGGAGTCGAGTACAGCATCTTGTAGCACCGTAGGGGAATCCGATTCGAGCAGGGTAGAATAGAGCAGGGCAAACAGAGTCGAGTAGAGACGAGTGAATGGGGAGAGTAGAGCAGAGTAGAGTTGAGTAGAGTAAGAGCTGGAGCAAAGTACCGTATAGTAGAATATGTTAGGGTACGTCAGGGTAGAGTGGGGTTGAGTAGAATATGGCAGGATAGAGTAGAGTGGAGTAGAGGAGACTACAATAGAGTAGAGACGAGTAGAGAAAGAGCAACGTGGAATAGAGTTGAGCAGGTTATGGTACGGTAGGGTAGAGTATGATAGGGGAGAGAAGAGTAGAGCAGAGTAGAGTAGAGTGGAACAATGTCGAGTAAAGTATGGTGGAGTAGCGTAGAGTATAGCAGAGCCCTGGTAGGGTACCGAGAGAGCTAGATCGAGCCGTATTAGCATCCTATCACAGTCGGCGCATGGCACGGGCGCTGGCTACAGGAGCGCCGCCGCCGCCGCTGTCGTCGTCGCCGTCGCCGTTGCTGACACCGGCGTCGTTGTCGTTTTTGTTCGTCATCTTTTTCGTCGTCGTCGTTGGCGGCGGCGGCGTCGTCGTCGTCGTCGTCGGCGGCGGCGTCCAGGGGTGGGTTCGATGTGGACCCCCCCAGTGATTTTCTGCCGGGGTCCGGGCCCTGTCATTATATGTCTTTCCCATGGGGGGGGATTCTCGACCCCCCTCGATCATTTTCCCGGGGATTGGGGGAGCTTCTGCAGCTTCATCGCGTTCGTAGGTCTCTACTCGCCACGTCGGGTGTAGTAGACGAATCGACACGCGCGGATCTAGTCCTCTTTGTTCTGTGCCATACAGGCGAGGAATTCTAGAAGAGAATGGGAACGGAAATAGGAATGGGCATGGCCAAATCGCGAAACGAAACATTCAAGTAAGAAGAGACGCGGCCTCTGGCGATGCGCGATACTTAGCGTCCATCCCAACGGTGGAGAAACATCTCGCCTGACACGTCGGGGTACAACAGGCACCTTGCCAGCAATACAAGTTCAGCGGTCAGTCTTGTGCATCACTCCTGTGATGTGGCACATTTCGGAGTTTGATTTGCAAGTTTGTGGACGTTTGCCCTTTCGTGCAGAATCGATTGGCCTCGCACGTATTCAGCAAGTGCATTCTGGACATTGTGCTGGCATTCCCGTGTTGCTCTGGTGTCAAGGGTTTTCGTGCACCGCGTTGGTGTAGAAGCGATGATTGCCCCTGTCAGCGCTGCATGTTCTGCACATTCGTCCAGGGGGGGTTGCGAACGCTGCGTTGCAGGACCGCGTCGCGACCTGCCAGTGCGTTCAGTGCGGACTGTTTTACTCAGACGAAGGTCTGCGGAGCCAGCACTGTTTGGTGAGATACAAGGGGGCTTGCCCGAAGGAATCATTGAACGGGAGAAGATGGAAGGCAGATGCAATGTGGAATTGGGAGCAGCAACATCTCGCTTCGCCACGCCTTGCGATCGGGATCCCCGTGGCCGATCGCTGATCCCCGATCGCCGCACCGTGTAGTGGCCACAGGCCGATCGGACATTGGTCATTCTCTTCGAAGGGCCAGACCATCAGGGGCGTGTCTGAGGTCTGATCTCGATCGTTTCCAGCTGGGAGGTCCAGGAGGTCTGATCTTGTCGAGGGCCGACCACGACCCTCACCCAATCCTCCAGACGGAATCTAGAAAACGAGGTCTCCGCGAACACATCCCGACCCTGACCAGTGGCTGTGGCCCTCCGCGACGGGGCGAATGGACGTGCAGCTCACAGAAATAGAGCCGTAGCAGAGAGCACATCTGACATGGTTCGTCGCGTCATCCACGATCCCCGGGTCATGTGGCCTTTCTGCCTTGAGATTGTGGTCCGAATCAGGTTTCATGTTTGTCCATGCTTACGACGCAGCCCGGCCCGACTTGCGGAACCACCTCAAGAGGGTGATCAATGGTTTGGTATGCCTCGAGTGCGAGCATTTCAACGCCTCAGTGTTGTGCGAGGCCGCTCGCTTGCGTCTCGTGCTGGTGCGCTTTGCTCTCCTGTCTGTCTCCTCATTGTCCTTCACATCGTTATCGTTCCCATCTTCCTTTTCTCCCGATTTCAGCTTGCCATCTCTTTCCTCATGCTCCTCCAACTCTCGAATGTCCGGAGGTTGATAGACCTCCTACCCTGACACGTCGATTAGCGAATTGGCCGTTTTCGGTTCGCGAGAAGGCGTCGCGGCCGTCATTTTGCGGGTCCAGGTCCGTCGGCTTCGGTCCTAGGCTGTTTTCACTAAAGGGTGGTTCACTACATGGAGATTTGTCCACCGCTGAAATGTGTCCTCCTCTTCCTCCTCTTCCTCCTGCACTGCGCACTTTCGGAGAGCAGGGTGTTGGCGATCGATGTCTTGCAGGGGAGATGTCGGGCGTTCAAGGGAGTCGTCGATGATTGGCCCTTGGTCTGTCATAGCAGGTGTCGGTTGGCAGCCATGCCCGTTGGGGAATGGCGCTGCACACAGAGAATGGTAGTATGTTTGGCTGACGTTACCCATCGGTCGTTGAAAGTAGGTATTTCTGGAGTCCCAGATTTCAATCTACTTTAAGCGTCTCCCTGCTTCAATGATCGAGTGGCTCCACCTGTTCCGCCCTCCCAGGGGGGGGCGGGCGGACACCCAATCTATCTTCAACGCTTTCCCACTACATGTCTCTACCTACTTCTATCGACCGACGGGTATTCTTCTTTTGTCCTCAGCCTCTTGCGGCGCCAGTGGCACAGTGTGGAGAAGCTGCACCTTCTGGGGGGCCGCTGCTCCCCGTGCGCGAAGCGCGTCGTCTGATCACTGCTCCTTCGATTTAGGTCGGGCCTGTCCCTTTACAGGAGGAATATGCAAAAATAGTTTTAAAAATTGTCTGGGGACGATTGTCAGACCATTTTTGCATATTTTAGTGTGCTTTTTCTGTGACAATTTGAAATGTTTCGCCTCAAACCCCCCTGTTGGGGGACAGGCCCGACCTAACCCTAGATGATCGGTAGCCGTCTGCCTTCTCGGGAGCTGCCGGAGCGCTTTTGCACGACCGAGCTTCCCAAGTCCAACGCGGTCTTGGATCGCAGACGGTGTGGGTGTGGGTCGGCGTGTGTTCATTGCCCTCGCGGTGCAGGATCGCGGAAAGAGCCCTGGATGGGCCGAGTCCTAATGTGTCGTGTTTTGGTCTGCGATGGCTTCGCGCGGGTTGGCCCAGTTGACCAAGATGGATCCAGCTGAACAGGCACTGTGTACAATCTTCGCCACCTTCCCTCGGCTCAGCATGGACCGCCAATAGAGAGCCAGCCCTCAGCCATCCTAGTGCTGGACTTGCCTGGCTGGATAGGGCGGCCGAGTCGCGATCAGGGGGGCGAGCAAGAGATAGAGGAAACGCTCGAATCCGCTCTGCGTGACCGCCTCGTTACCAGACAGGAGCAGTTGTGGGAGCTCTGGCCCATTACCCCAACCGTGCAGCGCAGGACAGAGCCATTCTGGCAGTTTGTCTTCCTCGCCAGGCTCAGATGGCAAGACAAGGCACTTAGCCCCCCATGATAGCAGACTCGATGACTGACGGACGAGCAGCGTCGCTTTGCGAGGACTGCGTAGACCTTTTCTGCACCGAGTGTTTCATCAAGTTACATCGCAAGGGAAAGAGGCCCTCTCGCTCCCTGCGCCCTCAGTTGTTTTGTGTGTGCATATTGGTAGCAGTCTCCTTCCATTATGTTCATCTCTCCTCCCCGTTCAGCGTTTCACGCCTCCTGGCCATGATCCTGCTCATGCTCACCGTTGCCAGCATCTGTCTCTTGTCGTCGTTATCACCCGCTTACCGCTACCCTCATTCCAAGGGCACGGCGTGCACATTTCAATCCCCTTACCTGTGTCTGATTACCCTTCGCCGCTTGTGCTGGACCTTGCCCGTCACATGTCGGTGATGTTTGAGCCCCGGCCGACATTGTTGACTTGCACATCTGCTGATCACAAGATGTTCTGCCCTGTGTGGGCCCCGGAAACGGCAGGGCCGTTTTTTCACCGTTTCCACAAATGTCCCTTGAAAATGGAAACGGTAAAAACACAGCGACCGGCAACGGCAAAAAAACGGCTCCAGGATTGGAACCAGAGCCGGAACAGGTCAAAAAACGGCGACGGAACTGGTAAAAAAACGGCGTCGGAACCAGCAACAAAACGGCAACACGGAACCGGTAAAAAACCGGCCCTGTCGTTTCCAGGGCCCACTCATTTTGCCATTCTTCCTTGGGCGTGTCGGTACCCAGTGCACTTGCACCGCATTCCTACGTCTTGTTTTTGTCCGTCTTCTTCTTCCGAACGGCGTTTAACCAGGACATCATCGTGACCGACTAAGTCTCTCCTCATCCCCAGATCAGAACAATATTGTCGAACCGTTGATCTCTGTCGCTCTCGTTCTCTCTCTCTCTCTCTCTCTTTTTATTTCTCTCTCTCTCTCTCTTTCTCTCTCCCGATCGCTGTGTCCGTCCTGGCGTCTTTCGTTTCTACCTCTTGCGCGTGGCGCCCTCCGAGCTGGCCCGTGCTCACACTTAGTACCCTCGCGCTACCTCATTTCAGTGTGTGTTGCTCGTTTGCCTGATGTAGTTTCAATTGTGTGGCGCCTTCTTTGCTTCCGAGTTGCGCTTCTTGTGGAGGGTCGGCATGTCCTGTTTCGCTTCCGTCTGTCGGCGTTACAAACCAAGCTTCTGTCTTTGACTCAATATCTCCATCGTGTGCAGCTGCATTGCTCTTTCTCGTTGTCTTGTTTGATTCATGTGGGCGATTCGGCGCTTAACCCAGGCGGCAGCACGTCCACCTCACCATCGACAATACGGGCCAAATATTCCGTGGCGGATTTTTGGTTCCGCCAGAAGAGGCGCTCGCCGCCCAATTCGTTGTGCCTGTCTTCTCTGATGTGTCAACGATTCGGGCTCGCTTGGAATAGGATCACGGGGGGGACACGTGTGGCAGTTGTCCCCCGTTTAACCTTGTGGAAGTCGATTAATGGAGAGGAAGCGCGCTGCCAAATAATTCCCAGATGTCTAAACCATGGTTCAAACATTGTTTGAATATGTTGGAACCATGTTTGAAACATTCTTAGAACATGTTTTACACAGTTCAAACACATCTTTAACTCAACGATAGGATTGTTAGAGTGTCCATTGTCAGGGCATCCACAATCACAGTCAATCTAGCGCATAGCCATCCATCCGATCAGCCAGAATCATTCGAGACACTCAGAGACCCTGTGTGCTGGCGCTCCTGGGCTCGTGCTGGGGTCCACGGCGCGTCAGCTCCCAGGCAATCTAAGTTGTCCGTGTTGCGGGTTCTTCGGCCTTCGCGATGGCGTTCACCATTCTTTGATCACGGTCGAGAACCCCAGCAGGAGGAGGAGGAGGAGGAGGAGGAGGAGGCGGAGGCGGAGGCGGAGGAGGAGGAGGAGGAGGAGGAGGAGGGGGAGGAGGAGGAGGGGGAGGAGGAGGAGGGGTCAATTTCTGTGACTTGGACAGGGGCCGAGGCTCGGGGCCCGAGTTGCCACCATCGTCGATCCTAGGGGCATGCTCATCGCCTCCTGTCGACTGCTACCGAAGACGCCTACGACTTGTTGCCGCCGCCCCCTGCCTTTTGGAAGCGCGTGCATCGCGAAACCTCGAGGGAAAGTGCGGCCGCGCTTGGAGACTGCGTTCTCCCCAAGCTGGTGAGGAAGCCGCTCTCTTGGGCCACCTTGGGGCTTTCTGGGGCCGTCCGAGGGGCGCTCTCGGGCTTCCTGGCGCCTTCGGAGCCCCTCTGGGCTGTCTCTTTGGGGCCTCTTGGGGCCATTCGGGGCCGTCTGGGGCTATCTCGGGGACCTGTCGGGCCGTCTTGGGACCGGGTGATCTTGGGTGCGTCCTGTGCGGTCTGCGACGCCCTCGACATTGAAACGCCGAGAATTCGAGAAACCTTTTGGGGTACCGACCAGACAATCAATGAGTCTGTCTGTCGAGGCCCTCCTGGGAGACCTTCCGGAGCCTCCTTGGAGCGTCCTTGGGTCATCTTGGCTCGCCTCGGAACATGCCTTGTGTCAGCGCTTCCGCGAGGGTGGTGGGTTGGGCCGACGGCCATTGACCGGCCAGACGGGAGGTTGTGCTAGGGCAAGGATGGCTTACGAAATCAGCTGCGTGCAGCTGGTTTCGGCCACGCCGCGGGGCCCATTCTTCGATACGTGGGCACTTCCTGGCGCCAAGAGGCGCCAGGAAAGCAAGCCACGTGAGCTGATTCTTTACCCAGCCCCTTGCTCCTCGGGCTGGGCTAGAACGAGGATATATCCGTTCCGGAGCGTTCCCTCCTTCAGGAGGGAAAGAAACACACAGACACAACTAATCGTCGATTCCCCAGAAAATATAGGAAAATATGAAAGTGTGGGGGAAGACAAAAACCCAGAAAATGTAAGAAAAGATTGGGAATCCTGTTATTTGTGTGTGTTTATTTGTGTGTCCCAGGGCCCCTTCAATCCTACCCTGACACGTCGATTGAGGACTTGGCCGTTTTCGGTCCGCGAGAGGGCGGCGCCGCCGTCATTTTTGCGGGTCCAGGTCCGTCGGCTTCGGTCACAGACCGTTTTCACGAAGGGGAGGTCTAACTACAGGGAGGCCTGTCCACCGCCGAACCAGTGGAGGTGAAAGCGATGTGGTGGCGGAAGCTGTGCCGTGCAAGCTGCAGTCGGCCCGGATTAGTAGGTCGAGCCTGCCAGCTCAAGGGTACCCTTCTGTCCTGTGCCTCGCGACGCGTGCCTTCTTACACTCCTATGGCGATGTGGCCCTCGGAAGGGTCTTGTGTCCTCTCGCGTGTCCTGCCCAGTCAAGGCCGACTGTATGTGGTGTAAGTTACGTGGTGTGCGCGATGGAGGTAACAGCGATGTGGTGCAAGCTGTGTGGTGTAGGGTATGCCGTGTAAGCTAGGCGGTGCCAATTGCCGATGAGAGCTATGGGGTGTCAACTATGTGATGTAAGCTACGTGTTGTCACCTATGCGGTGTATGTTCTAGACGCTTCGCGACCAGCATCCAAAGACGATGCCCAGGCGAGTTGCCCTGACCAGGGTTATACAGGGCCAGGGAAGCCGTCACACCCCGAGAGGAGAAGGATGGAGGGTGGAGGAGCGAGAAGGATGAGGAACAGGCGGAGGATGAGGAGGAGGAGGAAGAGGAGATGGATGGCGAGCAGAAGGGCCAGAGGCCTCTGAGGGCATCTCAGGGAACTCTTGGCGGTCCCGGGAGCCTCTTCGGGCGTATTGGGTGCCTCTAGGGGGGGCTCTTGGGGGCCGATTGGGGGCTTCTTGTGAGCGCATTGGAGGGCCCCTGGGCGCCTCTTAGGGCCATCTTGGGGCCCTCTTGGGGGCCTTGGCTGCCTTCTCGGGCACATCTTGGAGGATATCGGTCAAAGTAAAAGAGGTGGGGGTCCTTAATTTGCCTCGCCCCTCTGGAGCTCCCACAGTCGACTCTTGGGGCCCTCTCAGAGCGATCTTGGGCGCTCTTTGGGCAGGTTTGGGACCATCTTGGGTCTCTCTTGGGGCCATCTTGGGCTGTCTGGGAGCCGTCTTGAGGCCTCGGTAGCCCATCGGAAGCGAAAGTTCGAGAAGGCCAACCTCATTTATGTGCTTCAGGTGTTTCGAGGATGTTGGCCTCTCGGGGGCCTCATTTGGAGCTTCCGTGGCTACTCGGAGCCATCATGGGACCTCTTGGAGGCTTCTAGGATGCCATCTTGAACCAACTGAGGCAATATTTCGCCATCTTGGACGCCATCTGAACGCACCAGGGGCCACCTTGGAGCCCTCGTGAGTCAACCGCCTCCGATTGATACCCCCGAGAATCCGAAACACTTCAAATTCCTTGTGGGGTTCAATGTTTTTCTGATCAAAGGGGGGTCCTCAATGAACCACCCAAAGTCGTCTCTTGGGGCCCTCTTGGGGCGCTCTTGGGAGCCAGTGGTCGGTCTCGGGGCAGTCTTGGAGCCGTCTTGGGCCTCTCTTGGTGCCTTCTCGGGCCCGTTTGGAACCATCTTGTTGCTTTGGGGGCCCATCGGAAGCAAACGGGCGAGACGGCCCACAACATGGATCCCCCATATGTACTTGCAGGATTTGGGCCTCTTGCGGGCCTCCCTGGGAGGCTCCGAGGCCGCGTGGACCCGTCTTGGAGGAATCGTGGGGTCTCTTGGAGCATGTTGGAAGCAATCGCGAGCGATCTTGGTGTATCTTGGGCCATCTTGGAAGCCCTCTTGGAGCCCTAACGCAACCTCTGACACCTCGCCGCCCCCCTATCCCCCCACCCTCTCTCCAGGTCCAGGGAGAGGGATATGGGGGAAGGGTGTAAACCCTTCTCCGAAGGGGGAGAAGGGGGGTGGAAGAGGAAACGCTCCGAAACACCCACGCCCTGAGGGGCCAGTGGGACTCAGTGGTGCAAGCAACGTGGCGCAAGCTGCCTGGTGACGCTACAGTGCCGTTTTTAGTACATGCTCCGCGTGCGGACCATGCATCACAAATGCAGGGATCTAGTATAAAAACAACGATGAGCTCATGCACAAATTCGTTCATCAATTGATCATGTGATAAAAACCCTATGTTTTACACATTCCATGTGTTACAAACTGCCTTGTACGCCGTGCAAGTTCAGAGCACGGGGCGCCCACGAGGCGGCAACGGGGCGGCCACGCGGAGCAGCTTTCGGCACGAACGGAATTGGTACTCCAGATTTCGTAATAAAGGGAGGGGGGTCTCATTTCGGGGGGGGGGTCTCTTCCAGGCTATCTTGGAGGGCCTGGGGGGGGTCTGGGGACGATGTTTTGGAGGGTTCTCCCACGGGGGGGGGGGGGGTCTGAAATGGCTTGTCTTGGAGGGTCCAGACCCCCTCCCTTTTATTACGAAATCTGGAGTACGGAAAGGGTGGGCACAACGCCCAACAGCAGTTCCTGTTCGTCTTGAACAGGGCTCGCTGTCGGTGTCGCCGCGGCCTGTGCACATCTGAGACAGAAGGCCGCCTGCCCAACAGCGGCCGCTAACGGTTTGCGCCAGCATTTGTCGTTTGGCATTGTACCCACTTTTTCCGTACACGCAGGTGGGAAGAAGTAGGAAAGAACATGAAGTGAAAGGTATTGGAAGTGGAGTGGGCTTCTACCTTTTTTTCTGAAGAGGAGGAACAATGGAAAAAAACGATGGACGTTTGAAGTAGGAAGGCGCCTAACGTAGATCAGGATTTGGGCATCCCGAAATACAGTGCCGTTTTTAATGTATGCTCCGCGTGCGGATCATGTATTACAGATGCAGGGGTTGAGTATTAACAGCAACGATGAGCTCATGCATGAATTTATCCATTAATCAACCACGTATTAAAATCCAATGCTAAAACAAAAAATATGTATTAAAAACTGCCCTGTACCTACTTTCAACGGCCGGCTTGTACCCATTCCGGGCGTCCAAAAATCAGGAGGGAAAAACACACACAGACACAATTCATCGTCGATTCCCCAGAAAATAGGGGAAATTATGGGAAGTGGGGGGGGAAAGACAAAACTCCAGACAATAGGGGAAAATATGGGGAATCCTGTCCTTTGTGTGTATTTATTTGTGTGTCCCAGGGCCCCGTCGATTTGGGCATCCCAACACACCTACTCCAGATTTCGTAATAAAAGGGAGGGGATCTGGACCCTCCAAGACAAGCCATTTCAGACCCCCCCCCCCCGTGGGAGAACCCTCCAAAACATCGTCCCCAGACCCCCCCAGGCCCTCCAAGATAGCCTGGAAGGGACCCCCCCCGAAATGAGACCCCCCTCCCTTGATTACCTCGGCACGGCTCCCCGCCTTGGAGCGCACAGCTCCGGGGAGAGCAGCACTCAGGAGGGACAGA